ATGATTGTAAAGCGCTTTGGGTGTACAACAATACACAATAAAGCGCTATATAAATGCATCATTCATTCATTCAACTAGAAGAATGTGACCTGTTCTTCTGGAGATCAGTGATGGGAGAACACCTGTGATGGTAAAAGTCATGAAACTAATGGCACAGGCTGATAGGTCTTTTACATGCAATCTGCTAAATCAGATCATTTAATACAGGGCACAAGCTGATAGGCCCCTGTTGTATCTTCAGCCACTGAGATACTCAGCATTTAAATAGTCTGGTTTAATGTTCACTGTAAGCTGGTCCTTCTGAAACCCTCCACCTCCCCCAGCTCCACTTGTCTACACCTGCTACGGGACTATTCGTGAACATATCTTACATGCTCACAGCAGTGTGTAAGTACGTTTATCTATTGGAAGTAGCAATACTTGCTCTGCAGAAGCAGTGTAGCAAATCCAGTCCACCAAAACAAAAATACATTAACATTGTTATATCCATGAAAATGCTAAAACTATTCAAAGAGTTGTCATTATAGAAATACACTGGTGTTTTACCCTTAACCAGTGTGATCGGTCCAAAATAGTTCACATCTATGACGATCCTGTCCATCTCGAGGGACAGACACTGTACAGGAGCCTTCACCTTCATACTGCTGTTGAAGATGAGAACATCCAGACAGCCGTAACACTCCAGGATCTCAGAGATCACCTCAGGAACGCTTTTCCATGTTACTGAAGTCCAGCTCCACTAGTTTGGGTGGAAATGTCTAAGCAGTAAAGTTGCACAGAATTGAAACAAGTCTCCCCACATATTTTACATTTACATTTATTCATTTAGCAGACGCTTTTATCCAAAGCGACTTACAAATGAGGACAATGGAAGCAATCAAAATCAACAAAAGAGTAATGATATGCAAGTGCTATAACAAGTCTAGGTTAAATTAACGCAGTACATGTAGCAAGGTTTTTTTAATTATATAATAAATAAAAAGAAAACAGATAGAATAGAAAAAGAATAGAGCAAGCTAGTGTTAGAGGCCTTTTTTGCTTTTGTTAATTGTATAATAAATAATAAAGAAAACAAATAGACAGAA